CGCCATTGTCACCTCTGCTGGCGTCGTTGCCGCCTCTGCTGGCGCCGTTGCCATTGCCGCCTCTGCTGGCACCATTGCCACCTCTGCTGGCGCCGTTGTCACCTCTGCTGGCGCCATTGTCACCTCTGCTGGCGCCATTGTCACCTCTGCTGGAGCCGTTGCCATTGCCGCTTTTGCTGGCGCCCTTGCCATTGCCGCCCCTGCTGGCACCGTTGCCACCTCTGCTGGTGCCGTTGCCACCTCTGCTGGTGCCGTTGCCATTGCCACCTCTGCTGGTGCCATTGCCATTGCCACCTCTGCTGGTGCCATTGCCACCTCTGCTGGTGCCATTGCCACCTCTGCTGGTGCCATTGCCACCTCTGCTGGTGCCGTTGCCACCTCTGCTGGTGCCGTTGCCACCTCAGCTGGCGTTGTTGTCGTTGCCATTTCTGCTGGCGCTGTTGCCATTGCCACCTCTGCTGCACCGTTGCCATTGCCACCTCTGCTGCACCGTTGCCATTGCCACTTCTGCTGCACCGTTGGCATTGCCACCTCTGCTGCACCGTTGCCGTTGCCACCTCTGCTGGCGTCGTTGCCGTTGCCACCTCTGCTGGCGTCGTTGCCGTTGCCACCTCTGCTGGCGTCGTTGCCGTTGCCACCTCTGCTGGCGTCGTTGCCACCTCTGCTGGCGCCGTTGCCATTGCCACCTCTGCTGGCGTTCTGGGTTGCACAGCTTGGTGAAACAGAGACATCCTCCATGTTTTGGGTTGCTGCATACCTTGGTGAAACCAACAGAGACATCCTCTGTATTCTGGGTTGCATAGCTTGGTGAAACCAACCAAGACATCATTCGTGTTCTGGGTTGCATAGTTCAGTGAAACCAACCAAGATATTATCCATGTTCTGGGTTGCATAGCTTGGTGAAACCAACAGAGACATCATCTGTGTCTGGGTTGCATAGCTTGGTGAAACCAACAGAGACATCATCTGTGTTCTGGGTTGCATAGCTTGGTGAAACCAACCAAGATATAACCTCAGATTTTTCCCTGTAATTGTGCAACAAATGCATTGTCTGACCATTCCTATCAAGAATAAAAGACAAACATGTTAGCCGAAGAGTTTTCAAAAAGTGACCTTGAATCGTACAAGACAAGCAATCATGTTCCTATTATTAGAGCAATGACCCAGCCTTTATAAATGCCTCTGGACAATTTACATGTTACTTGTAAATAGATCAGTCAGAGTAGAAACTCTCTCAGCACCCAATGTGTTGTTTTATTAACAAATTGCTGCATCTCTGAATACATTATCACTGGCTGTGTTTTGTGTATAATTGGTTGTGATTTATCAAGCATGATGGGTAGAAAACAATTATACATTATATGTATAATTGTCCATCACTGGTAGTATGAACAACATAAAGGCTATGTATTATTTTGCTCTCATTTTATAACAAACACATGTGCTTCTGTAATTGTGTTTGTAGTCCTGTGATTCCTCAGCAATTTGCTGCTCTTGTTTTTTTCAAAATAAATTTCCTAAATATTGTTTAATTATGTTTTTTTTTAAATTTACTGTTTTCACCCAATATATTGCAAATAATTATAAAATGTTTCATGACACTAATTGTCGTTTTGGATAAAATGTCATAAGCTGAATCTGTGTCATATTTTAATGATCAAGTTGACATTAAATACAAATTTTTGGTTGATATACACTTTGAATAGAGCATAATAATAACAAATACATTTTTTTTTATTTAATGATAGTCAATGAATATAGGATCTTTAATATAAGACATGAGTAAATACAAACATGTTAGTGCTGTAGAGTTTAATCTTTATATGTACCGAGGCATGACACCAAATGTGCAGATTTCCATTAGCACAGTGTTTTCATGCTGATGAGTATGCCGGGTGTCAAATCATATTATACTTAAATAAATGTAATTGACACACATATACATATCTGCCTGACCAATTCACATACCGCTATCAGACATTCAAAATCATATTTTTGCGCAAGACGTTCTTTCAGGAGTTGACTTCTAGTCATTTACCAAGCAATAATATAATATCTAATACACAGAACTACATTAATGATGTAAGAGGGAGCACTGCAATTCAGTGGCACCACCAAGTGGGGAGATAGGTTTCTCCCTACCAGGGTGTGAAGTTTTTGATAATTCTAAGTTAAAAAAGAGT